CTTGTGCATAGCTGCAGCAAGGTGGGGCAGTGCCATGGACTCCATCAGCTCTCCCTGCCAGGCATGGTGAGGTGCTGTATGGCTAGGAGATCCCCAAACACAGTGAAGTGCCAGGTGGCCAGGGGATCTCAGGACTGGAGGGCTATGCTGCCTGGCAACTATGGGCTCCGGGCAGCAAGTCCTGCCTTCCCATGTGGCCCACATATGAAGTCAGGCATGTGTCTGGTATATATATATGTATATATCCAAGTGATCCCTCCTAGAGGTCCCATCCCATGCTGGGGACACATGGGATGTATGCCTCCCCAGCATGCACACTGTCCCTTTCAAAACTGGCAGTGAATGACCCAACTCTCTGTGAGGCAGCAGCAGTGATGCAAGTTTTAAATTAAAAAAAAAAAACAAAAACCCCAGCACACTTCTCAGTCTTTAAGTTCTGATGTCTGAGTATGCCATGTGGCATGCCAGGTGGGATTGGAGCTGTGGATGTGTACTTCAGGTAGCCATCAGCACCAAGGTATGTATCTGCAGGATGTGGGTATGGAAGTGCCTGCCCAGGTCTGCTTCTGCTGCTTCAGTGTTGACTAGGCATACTAAAAACTTCATTGTGGTAAGGAATGTCCTCTCTTCTCACCGTTTTGGTACATTTGTGCAGCCTCTCTGGGTTTGTATGATGCATGTTTGAAAAGGAAACAGGAAGGAGCTGCAAGTGGAAATTTCAAGCTGTCAGCAACAGAGCAAACCCCAACCAACTTCCTATAGCCTAGGTGTAAAACTCAGGCTGTGCACTTCAGCTTCAAGTGACAGAAGATGCTGAATTTTATACAGAGTCTTCTGAGATCAACAGGTGCTGGAGATGAAAGAAATGGCTTTGTCTTGGTTGTATCAGCCCCAGGAGAGGGCCCAGGTTCCAGCACCCCTTGGCACAGCTCTGCCTGTTGCCTGTGAGCCCTCTCTGAGATGTTTTTCCTTAGGCTGGCCACTCTATTTTGTTTGGAGGTGGCTGTGGGAGAGGAGCTTGCCATGTATGAAAGCTCTGCTGTGCCACTTGATGATGGGGGAGAGAACACTCCCTGGTCTGTTTTGCTCACAACATAAATCACAGTGTCACATTTGTCTTTGGCTTCACTAGAATTGTACCAGAGAGTTTTAGCCCATAGCTGTATAATGCATGTCCAGCTGCCATGAAAATGCATGTGAATAGAACAGGAGAAAAGGTCTATGGTATGAGAGCCTAATACCTGTATTGTCAAATATTTCTGTGTGTACACCATCACCCAATCCAGAACTGGTCACAAACTGTGCATGGAAAAGTACAGAATTTATTCTGATCTCCAGTTAATCAGTTTCTCACCCAAGGACTGATGAGTGTGTGACCTTTTTCTAGGAAAGAGCCACTCCCACCAGCTATAAAATTTCACAAATCCACAAAGCAAACAAGTTGCCATTCTGCAAAACTCTCACACCTATGGAATCCTCATTTCCTGCGAGGTGTGGATTTCAGGTGAGCAGTGCTGGATTCTTGGATTACTTTGCTAGGCTGAAGGAGCATACCCAATACAGGTGTATCTGTAAATTGATATGAATCCAACTAAAAAAATTAGCAGTGAAATTGTGCAAGTTTTGCAAATTTACAGTGTCCCAAATAGGTGGTTGTTGTGCTGTCCTGCTTTCATACAGTTAAGGGCTTCCTTCTATGTAAGTGTGAGGATGAGTGAAAATGTGATTGTCCCATAGTACTGACAGACTAAAAACATGATTTTCTAGAGCTGTGAACTCTAGACTTGGTAGAATGGACAGAAAGAGGATAATTTTCCTGGAAAAGACTGGGTAGCTGAATAGGGATTCTTTTAAACAGGATGAAAGTAAGAGAGCAAGGGGTGTGGATCATCAGTGCTTCGCATTTGGAAAAAAGAGCGTGAGGATTTTCAGTCCATGGGGAGATGAATGGAGACAGAAAGCAAGTCCAGAATATGTGAAGGTAGAATCTTCATAAGGCCTTGCTGCAGGGCTGGTTTTCTGTGCTAGTGGTTCGGGGAACTGGTAAAACTGGACGGGGATATTAAAGGCTGTAATCCCAATTCATCATTTATAGCCTGCTCGTGTCCAGGCAGACATGTCCATCCCAGCCTTCTCAGATCCAGTGAACTGCTGCATTTCACAATCATGGGAAGGGCTTCCCAGCTGCACGATCCGAGCGTTTTGAAGTGACACATGGTGCATTATATTAACTTGGTTCAGACAACCAGCTTTAAACATCTGAATCTGATTTCTTGATGCTAATTCTTCTTGCTCAATCTTTATTTCAGCTGTGTGGAATTCTCAGACCTTTTTGACCCTGACTTATCATTTCCTGATGTTTTATTGCTAAGTCATTGAGGTTTCAGGGAGGCTGATGTTTCTAAAATGTGCACACCTTTGATTGTATGCATGGCTGGCGTGTCAGAGCAAACTTTTCATACGCTCTGTATATATCACTGTCTGCAGTGCTGTGTGCTCTGCAGTTGCACCATTTGGTGTGCTTATCTGCATGCCCCATTAGTGCAGTCCTCCTTAAAATGTGGTTGTTATTTAAGGCTTTTCAAAAGCTCAGCCTCTGCACAGTACAAAATTTGATCTGAGCCTACGTCCGCTCTTGTCACTCAAGTACAGGTTCCATCTGTTCCCCTTTTCCTCTCCCGTTGCTGCTTGCCACATCCAGACCACATGCTGCTTATACATTGTACAATAGACATTTCTGCACACACACTTCTGAAAATGTGGCTCTTAGTGCTTTATTGTTCACATGTGTCTTGTTGCTTAAGGCAAGTTTTATCAGTAACAATTTTGTTGTTTACTGACACATAGAATAAAATGGGTACTGTTAAAATGTGACTTGAGGAGAGTAAAAAGACCTTTGATACACCAATTACACAATTTCTGCCAGCTTTCTGATCACTCTCCCCTGCCACCACTTCCCCAAATTCAGTAGTTACCCAAGAATAAAGCAAGATCCTAACATCACTCACGGTAAGGGCCACTCCACTCTGCATGAGGCTGCTCCATGTTGGTAAAAATTCACCAGCACCTCCCCTGCTTCTGTGTCTGGTGAGGAGAAAAGGTGGAACCTTCTAGCACTCCTTTCCAGCAAGGCAGCTCTGGCTTTTGCTTTAGATCTCTTTTACAGGTCCCCCGTGGTACCTTGAAAAATGGCTACATTCTTCCCTTTGGGGAAAGAAAATTCCCTATAGGAACTAGTTCCAGAAGTGGAATCAGTGCTAGGAAAGCCTATGAAGACGCTTCTCTTGCAGGAGCTGAGCTGAGCTCTAGCAGCTCCCCCAGTGTGCAGACTGGAGCAGACCTAGAGGTATGCAATGACAAGGGAATTAACACAGGCAGATTCCCTGGGAGCCTTCTCAGGCCTTTCCCATCACACCTCACTCCAGACATGTGGTGAGACTGGAGTATCTGCAAACAGATCACAATGGGTGCAACTCCCAGTAATGTTCCTGGGTGTCTGCAGCAGGGATGGCACACAGCCCAATACACTGGATTATTGCCACCCAGGGATTTCCCACACCAGGAAAATCCCCAACTGCCCAAAACCTCTAGTTTCCCACCTGGAGAAACCCAAGATGTGCCCATGGCAATGATAATTTCTCCTACTGGGGAAGACCACAAATGGTAGGAATAGAGCCGGTTTCTATTCGATGGAAGCTCCCCTGCCAAAGACAGCGTGTGCTGCTGACACAGACACAGTCCCCTACGAGCAGCCACAGATCTCCCTTGCATCCTGCACGTGCAACCAGGGGCTGAAAAACCACCTCAGGACAGGATCATAAAGAGCCTTTTCTGACCATGCTCCCTTGCATCCTGCACGTGCAACCAGGGGCTGAAAAAACACCTCAGGACAGGATCATAAAGAGTCTTTTCTGACCATGGACTACAGCCATGGCTCATAGGGTGTCTCTTGGCTACTGTTCCACCCTGTGGCTCCCATCCCACCCAGTCCTCTCGCAGATCAGCAGAAGCAGTGAGAAGACCCAAGGTCTCTTTTCCCTCAGAAGGGGTGGGTAGGAAGAGCCAACTTTTGTTTGCACCAAAATTCTCATCATTTTCAGATACAATTCACTGAATATTCTGTGTACCGCCCTGTACCAAATCTGAGGTCATCCAGTGGAGGGGAAGCATGAAGGATACAAAAGAAGAGAATGGAGCAAAGCTCTTGGCAAGCTGTAGTAAATTGGAAAGGAGGCAGGTAGGAACAAAAATGAAGCAAGTGCTTAAAAGAGTTATTCAGGAGAAACAAGGGCTTTAAGTGACATTTGAGTACGGGAAAGAAATCAGTATCCGTGGTTTCCACCGGTGTTCGGAGTGCTAAAAGCAGAAGTGGTTGCTGAAGTCTAAACAGGAATGTGAGGCTGAGCTCTCAGCTTCCTCACAAATTGTATGATTTACAGGCTCACTTGATTTACAGGCTCACGTGCAGAAGAGGCCTTATTTTATAGAATTTCAGGCCTTTTTGAAACAAATTGCTTTGTGAGCAGTGGAACTAATGGCTCATGGTGTCCTGAGGGTCTCTGACCACTGCTTCATATTCACCTCCCTTCTGTCCTCTCCTCCTAAAATAAAATGGCTGCAATGAGCTCCACTCTTCCCTCATTATATGCTCCAAGACCCTTTCCTGGGCTGCAGTCAGGTCCATATATGCTGGCTGATCAGTTAATGCATACATGGCCAGCCAGCATGCCAGGTGACTGCTGGCTGCATTTCTTTAGCTGAGGTCCCTGCCCCTCACACTGCAATCAGTTTGCACAAAATTTGGAGAGAAAATCAGTAGCTGTTGAAATTTCTACCTTTCAGTCCTGTGTGAAATCAGGTACAAATTATTGATGGAGCTGGACAGACAGATGGAATCTGAGCTAAAAAGGTTCTGCTGTATCAGCTTTGGATGAACATATAGCATATTAGTCCAGGTTCTGGAATTCATTTCTCTCTCTCTTTCTCTCTCTCTTTTCCAGCTATTTTTAACCTGGATGTGTTCTGTGATATGTTTCCCACACAGCACAGAAACTGGCACAGCTGAGGGGTGAGTGAGTGGTGGGAGAGGGGAAATCAGGGAATGCTTATGTTGGTGCTGCTGCTGAAAGAAGTGCTCATCAAACGATAGCCTCTCAGATCTGTGTAATGTGGAGTCCCACACCTCCCCACAGAAAAAATTGTTACTCTAAATACATTCACAGTCTTAAAGTGCTCAGATACAGGGCAAAAAGAGCTAGAGAAATTAAGGGAAACTCTAAAAATAACCAGCAGAAACAGCAGCCAGTTTTGAAATGTAATATTTTCTGTCATAGCTTAACATCTTAGTACTGCCCACATTCTTGTGTGTACATCTCAAGACATCCCTTGCAGAGGATCTCATAAGGAAAATTCTGTTTGTGGCAGCTCAGTCTCTGCACAGAGTGCACATCAACTCAGAAACACTTTATCTGACTTAGTATACATGCAAACCTCAAGCTTGAAAGAACAGAGTTTTTGTATGGAAAAACATAGGAAAAAGCTTCTTGAGTATTAATTTACAAAATGAGACCTCTAAATGTGAAGGATTTCTTCAGTTAACTATAGATAATTATAATGTGTGAGATCTGCTTTTCCCCCCATGTTCTGTTTAACACTGTTTGTTAGACATGAAAGGAAAAGAGGATTAAAAGGGAGAGATGGTATTGTAAACAACCCTTCAGGGGAGGTGGGAAAACAACAGTAACTCTCTCAAACAGAACACAAAGATGCCCTTAGGAAAAGGTTTGCAGTGTCCTGCATTTGAAAGTTAATGAGTAAATTGATGTCAAATATTGCTTTAAGGACTGACAGTGCCATCTTTAAGATCTCAAGCATGCACCACAACTGAGAAGAGACAAAGGGAATTTTTAATGGGCAATAAATGGATTAATATTTTTTGAAGCAAAGCTACAAGCAGGTTAGTTCTCATGGGATGTGAATTTGGTCTGTACTTCCTGGCACTGTGACTTTATTTTTTTGATGTCTTTTGATGAAGCACTGATTTTTCTTTTAAAAAGGAAAAAAAAAAATGTGGTCTTAGTAAATAATCCTTCTTCAAGTTACAGTAAGTCCCTTGAGGAGTACAGAGTTGGCTGGTTTGGGGGTTGTGTAGGCACGTGCCAGACCATCTGCCCACTATCCTGTTATGCTTTGCCTCACATCAAGCTCAGGTTGCTTGGTCATCTCTGCCCCTGCAGAGATGTTGCAAGACCACCTTGTACAGATGCCTCCTTCACCCAGAGCTACCTGCCAAGAATGTTTTAAGACCCTACTAATGTCTTCCCAACCTTTTACCCACTCAGGGATCCCAAAACCATACCACCTGTTCCCAGCTGCCTCTTACTTATCCTCACACCTCAGAAATGCACAGGCCACTTCACAAACCTTTCCTACTCTTCATTTCTCAAAAAAACTCCTTTGCCATCACCACAACATTGAGACACATCTGCTTACACTACCATAAGTTGCCAGACTAAAAAAAAAGACAAAAAGAAGAAGAGAGAATCAGCTCCTCAAGTTTAGACACACAGACACAAGGGAGCACATGCCCAGCCTTGAGGGAGTGCATCAATAACACCTCCACCCTTTTATCACTGCTGCTCTCTGGCTCACTTAACCTATTCCCAAGGGTCAGCCACTACCTTCCAGTACTTTCTCTGTGGATAAAAACCACTTAGTTTAACTTTTCTGCTCAGCTGCTATGTTCTAGCTCTTCCAGAGCAACTAAAACCCCAGTCGGTTCACACTTTCATGCCAGACCCTGCCTTTCAGAGCTAAGGGTTGTACTGCTCTTTGAAACCCTCCCAGCACTCAGCTTCTCTCCAGGAGACATCCTGACCTAGTGCAGCATCTGCCCTCTCTGCAGGAGAGGTGCCTGTGCTCCAGCACGGATCACATGGCTCCCTTGTCCCTGCAAGCTCGAGTACTTCAGTACTTGGACAGAGAGACAGGCTTGGCTCCTCAGTGTCATCTGCCTCTCCTCTCAGGGCATTTTCAATACATTCCCCATCTCCCCCCTCTCATTAGCTTCTGGGTTAGTCTCGGGCTCATCCCTATCTAAATGACAGGCTGCCAAACAGGCACATGAGCTTTCACTTGGCTTCCACCAGGGAATACAGCTTTGATCTGCTAAGAATGTAACTCTTAACAGTTCTCCTGCCCCATCAGGACAGGAGAACTGTTGATGACACCATGTGGGATCAGCTCTGCTGTGCTTTCTCTCTCCCCTTTGGAAGTCCCCACCAGCAAGATCCCACCTTTCATACACAGGTACATACTCAGACATACATACACTGGCTCTACTGCATCCTGTCCCATTTCTGAGCAACTGGAGCATGAAAGTAGGGAAGCAAGATGATACTGAGGTGCTCTATGTTTTTATGAAAGAGAGACTGCTTGAACCAAGTGGCTGAGTTCTGTGTAGTCCCAGCTAACTGGCTCAAGGCTCTAGCCAAGCTTGTTGTGACCCTCTTTGGAAAAACTGGAGTTCAGCTTCTGTCTGACTGATAAAGTTTGTATTGTAAAGAAACCAGAAATACAAGTCCTGCTCAAGAGCTGTGCTGTGCCTCAGGCAAGAATATGAACACAGGCTTCTCCTTCCAAATTACTGTCAAAAAATCAGGTATTCTCAGAACAGCCCTGGCTGGCAAAGCCTTGCTTGCTGAGGTACACGTAGTTTGTACAACTTCGGGCAATGATGCGAGACTGGGGACAGCTGGGGCAGGGAAACACAAACCCATTTGGATAAAGGGTTTCCCCATGGTGCAGAACCAAAGAGGAGTTTCAGCACCATGTTTCTCCTAGGCACAGGTCAAATCATCTTGATGCCTCATTTGATTTGACTCACCAAGAACAGCATCACGTTCAGCACAAGGTGCAGCACAGAGGAATTGCATGGGGCAGGTGTTTGCAGAGAAGCAGATGGAAAAGGTGGGTACTCCAATACTATCATGGCAAGCATGGAAGAAAGAGTTTGAAGAGGGCTAGGAAAAAACCTCAAAATTCTCCTTACCATGCATGAGATCAATTGGTACAGCAAAGTTAAGTCTGGGTCTTTTCAGTGGGTGGAGGAAACCTCCCAGGCTGAAAACTGTGCTCCCATTCCCTGTCCTCATCCAATGCCCAGACTCATGTCAAGCATCAATATTGTGTGAAACACGAGCCCTAGTACATATCAATGTACAAATCCTTGAAATCTAGCAAGTTCCATCACACTCCAGGGAATGTCCAGTTTCCAGCTTGTTTTCTGCTCCTTCTGTGCCTTGATTCATGCTAGACATGGATTTAGTCTTTTAAAAAAAACACTTGGATTGAACAAAACAGTCTTTTTACTGAAAAACCTGTCCTGAAAAACCACACTCCAACATCCCTTACCTCCCACTCCCTTGCAGCAAGTGCAGTGCTGGGCATAAGTCATCTCTCCAAATGCAGGTGTCAAACTCAGAAAAGGAAAACCAAGCAAACTCCCAGGATTCCAGTTAGTGAACTGACTGGATATACACTGAGTGTAAAGCTCAAGCTACACTCCAGAACTCACTGACACCTCCCTGAAATCCTGAGGATGCACAGTTGGAGACCCAAAGCCAGACCTATTTTCTACGTGCTGTAGAAAAACAACAGCTGCTGTGAGGTCCCAAGTCTTGCTATGGCAGGGACTCTTTGGCAGGTATTTCAGAGTCAACACATCTAGACCCCTAACATTATTCCCATCCAGTACTGGTGTATATTTTAACTTGGACAGTGCCCAATCTGCACGGTTAGTGTTTTCCACACAAAAATGCCTGGTTGGTAAACTTCCAAGAAGTTCTATTTTAGATTCAATGAAGAGTAGCAGCTTTCCATGGAACTTAACTTTGTTCTTTCTTCTTCTCTTTTCCCTCATCCCATGATCCCTAAAAGACCCATAAATTTTCATTTGGAAATGCTACCTGGGGTGCCTCATGGATGTCAGAGTTCATTTGTTCTGTCCTTCAGGCAGTGGGATAGTTTCATTAGAAGCCCTTTTGTACCTTGAAAAAATACCTGGGGGGGCAAGGAAGGTTACATCTTTACCTTTTCATTGAACTGCTTTTCCTGAAAACAGTACAGTAGAGGCTCTGCTGTTGACTATTGAAAAATCACAATTTTTAACACTGTGCTGCTGCTCCTGTGGTGTGCACGAGTGTATGGTCGCTCATCACCATGAGGATGAGGAGCAGAATCACAGCTGTGGAGAAGCCACCCCTCCATGGTCAGAATATCAATCTGCTGATGTGCAATTGCCTCAGAGTGGGAGATACACACAAATCCTACTGGAAACCTCTTATTCTCCTGCATCCAGGTTCCCCTACTTCTGCATAAGAGCTGTCCCACAGCCTGCAAACCATGTCCTAAACAGCTGAAATTTGCAGGAGTATGCCATCTCCTTATCAGCTCCTGCTTTGTGGTACATTTCTATATTTGTTTTGTCCCATTCTGTGTCTCCATAGCTCTCAGAAAGAACTGAGCTCCTTCCAAGTTGTAATGATCCTCACTTGTTCACTCCCTCACAAACAGAAATCACTTTGGCCAAAAGCCAGGACTGCAAAAAGGGCCAGGCACATACACGGGCAGCTTAAAAGCACCTCAGCTTTGGGAAATCCTGCTGGGCTGTAAAAGCTGCCACAAACCCAAATAATATCAAGCAAGGCCTGTCTGATTATTCTTTGGCTCAATCCCCAAACTGGCTAAACTGCTTTTCCATACAAAGTATTTCCAGGTGGGTTATTAGGTCCTGTATCCCTTCCATGTTGTATTCTCTCATGGTTGAAAAAGACATTCCTTAGAACAAGCTATTTTTAAAAGAAAAGCAAATATTCTCCTTTATATTTCTGGCTCCTCTAAACCAGAAGGATACTTTGCAAGACACAAACTGTTCCCACTGAGTAGCACATGGGTCTTATCTGCCCACAGTGTCTGTGCCTGTGCAGGACTTTCAGCTGGGGATATAATTTACATTTTCACAAGGAGATTGATGCTGGTAGAAGTACCAGTGTGAAGAGTTATGCAAGT